CTTCAAGTAGATATTCTAAAACATTACATGTGCAGGTAAAAGCACATACATATATAGCAGAGGAAAATAAATGATCACATAACATTAGGCATATCTGAGAAATCTTTTCATATGTATGCTAGAAATATCTGCAGGAATTGTGAGCATGTCAAGCTTCAGAGTTTATGTTTGCCAAACAGTTAAAATCATTGAAAGTTATAAAAACAAAACCCTCATTCAACTTTCAGATATTATTTGACAGAGGTACTTTTTAAACATGCTACGCAAAAATAAAGTCACATGGAAAATAGCTGTTTTACACTTGTATTATATAAAAAAAACTGACCTCGTCTCTCCTGGCCTTGTTGAACTGCTGTAAATCTCGGAGGATATTGTCATTGAGATGGATGCTTTTCACAAGATTCTCGGCACCCGCTGTATCTTTTGTACCAGCTGGTCTCACTTTGAAATCCCTGATTTAAAAAAAGTTATTTTTCAGGTTTCCTTCATTTTGTACTGTTTGTCCATGCGAAAGGCAGCTGAACACATTTTACAGTGAGATCTATGAATATTAATACTTACTTTAACAGACCAGCCTTGTAGAAGACATACAATTCCTGTGACAAAGTGCTGGGACATCTTGGGGTCACTCTCTGTAAGTTAAAAGTAATCAATGGTCAAACCATAAAGAAGATCACTGATACCTATGATGTGATATAGACTACTGATGATAGGGTATAGACTTATTATTCAATGTTACAGCTGACTCACCATAAATCTTTGAAGCAGAGGGAATTCAGGAACAAGATGTGGTACAGTGATGACACAGAAGTTAAGCTCTGGGAACAGTGAAAAGCAGGTAGCCAAAAAGTCAGATGATCTGAAATGTTATGAATTTTAATTTGATCATTATTCATCAAACTCTGTCATTAAAAAAATTGTGAATGAGAAAGAGTCAATTTTATCAAGAAAGAAGTAAACAAAATAGTTTTACTGCACTCATTAAGGAGTTTTAAATCTTTTAATGTTGCAGAAGTACCTCATTTCAAACCGTTCATCAATACAAAATAGCTGTATGCTAAATGCATTGAGAGGTCCTTTGTAAGTTGGAACAAAGCGTTTGTGTGTCCTCATGGGTGTGATAGGCTGTGGTGTTCCCAGCCTGGACTGCACGGTCTGTAACATTAAATTGTTTTGTACATTTAAACAGATATGTTAATTTCTTCAGTATAATTTGACCGAGGTTACCTTTATCTGTGTACTGACCTCCTCCCTGATGGAGCTCTTCCTGCTGGACACCTGAGACTCCCGATCCTCGGCGTCGTGGGCCACCTCCTCCATCTGCTCCCCGTCACTCAGTATCGAGGCCCCCGTCAGGTGGGCATCACTCAGTTTACTCTGGACTTTGGGAGGATCACCCGACATACTTCCAGCTACGAGACATGAAACAAGAGAGTATGGCTAATGCAGTACTTAATGTAGATTCTAATAAGACACATATTTTCACATATTAAATGCCAAATAAATTGAGAACAAAAGAAAATTCTTTCTGATATAGTTATCTGTAATCTAATAATCTATTTTATATATTTGCAGTGACCTTGGACCCTCTTTTCCCAATAAAATTCAACAAAAAGGATAACAAGTCTGTACATTGTAGGAAACTTATTCCCCACCTCTGGAGTTCTGGCCACTTGATTGTTGACTACCCGGTTTCTTCTCTTCATTTTGTCCATCTGTTTGTTCTGTTTTACTGTGTGTAGAGCTAGCAGACTTCTCAGACATCTTTGACCCAGGCCTTTCCTCTTCTATAATAAATACATGTAATCATAATATCAATAAAAATGTTTACCCTTACTTCTGCATAAAACTGTTCAATCAGCAATAATTTATATGCAAAAATGTTATGATTAAAAAAACTTCCAATTGATAAAATGAAAATAGAGCTCTACCTGTAGGTGCCTCTGGGGGCGGAGTTACAGGTGGAGACACTTGATCATCTGGGTGGGGCTTCCTCAGTCCATGAAGTGCCCCCAGCTCAAAACAGTTGTTCAGTAAGTCCACATTGACATCATCACTGATACTCATAAAACCAATGGCAGTTCCATCAACCTATAAAAGTGAAGAAAAGATATAGTAACAACTACTCAGAGTTGGATTACACAAGTTTATAAATCACTTCATTTATTATACAAAATATCTCTTTTTTTTCAAAAATGAATTTATAAAGTAAATAAGGAACATGACATTAATTTATTTGCTGTTGAATACATGTATTTTCAAAATAAATGCTTTACTTTGATATATACCAATACAAGTAATTCTCAATGCAACAGGGCTTTTTCAAGTAGATCAGCTTACATTTACATTATTGTATGAATATTATCTTAGCATTTAAAAGTTTAAAGTACATTTTAGAATTTTAAGTTCAAAGTACATGCACACATCTGTAACAATACCTCCGCTACTAGGCAGTGCATGTGGTCATCTTGAGCTTCAATTAACTCTGCCAAGAAATAGTCTCCATAGGCCATTTTTAGCATGTCACTCTGACGATTAAATATTGGAGTCAAATCATCATGGTCCTCCACCCTATAAAACATGGCAAAAATATATCCGAATAAATCACAAATTAAAACAATATGTAGTCATAAACTGATAAACTAAATACTGAAAATTTCTTATACTATATATGTAGGACATTTTTCATCTCTGTTTTTACTTCTGCTTCCAGATTCATACATTACATAAAACATATTATATATTACTAAAGTAGCTTAAATGCCCTAGGACATATAACTGATACAATGAATTTGTACACTGTATCAATGTGACAGGTGTACAGACCTGGCTTTTCTGACGTGTAGTACAGGCACATGCTTGTGTCTGTGACAAGCAAACACAGCCCCTTTGGCGGCCCCAGGAGATCCTTCCTTCTTGTCCATTTGTTTGAAAAGTTCATCCAAAGCAGAATCTGTGTCATAAAAATAAGTCAACATTTCAAATCATTTTCCCCCAGAAACAACTGTGGCTTATTCAGGCTCTGAGTTTTTAACTGAAAGATGTGAAGCAGGCTAAATTTTTTTTTTCAAGATTCATTAAGAGGATTTAATAGTGTTTATTACAAACATTGTACTACCTGGATATGCTCCCATTGGAACCATCAGAAAGAGAAAGTGTATATCAGGAACAGCATTGAAAGCTGTTCTAATTATCTCCCTTGCACAGCCATGTGCATACTCTGGTTTAGCCACAAAATAATGCATAAAAAGGGAATTTAATGCATTGACTTGTTGGTTGCCGTATGTGTCTCCAAACCATGTCTCCCATGTGGCTGGGTCTACATCTGTGTTTGGATAATCAAAAAAAGCAGCATGTCCAAGGATTTCTTCTCTGTCATTGCATAATGTGACAGCAAGGACTGCCTTCTCTCTGTTTCATTAAAATAAAATTTATGCTCATAAATGCAAATGCTCACATAAAATCTTTCAAGAAACTTGTAAAATACAATTTGTTAAATAATTAGTTGAAATAATTTAATACTTTGGTTGTAAAGATAAGATTAATTTTCACTTACAAAAACCAACACTTACATTACATTTACAATATTCACTCTACCAAAAAGGGTATTGGTAGAGTCCTGAACAAGACTTAATATGTGTGGGGCATCAAGAGACTCCGTTCTTCTGGCATTAACTACCTCTGGAGGACCATCCTTCGGTGCTATAGTTGCCATCTGCAAAAAATATGAGAAACAAAGTAGGAGTAGATGATTTAGTCATATTCATAGAGGAATACATGTAAGCTTAGAGTATGGTTTTAGTTAGTAAATTGCAGAAAGTCTCAGTAGGTACCACAGTGAAAATATATGTGATGAATCAATAATATCTGAGCATCGATGTAGAACTACATGTGGAATTTGTTTTCAAGAAATGTATGGAACAGTCACCTAAATGCTTAACAGCAAGTGCAGCGAGCAGCACAAAGCGCTGCTTGTCACTAAAAATAAAATTGCCTAGACGAAGAGTAAATTTGGACTTCGCATTATTATCAGGACATTTTTTACCACAGTTACCTGCGGTCTCATAATCCTTAGCAAAATCCATCTTGCTGCGAAAAACGTTCTAGCAGTAATAATTATAAGACATTCGAATAAAAAATTAATTCATGTAGATTTAAAAAATATTAATGGCAGAAAAAAGTTGATTAAACATTCCTGATTAAAATTACCTTTGAAAAGACTTTGTTTTGATAATACATCATACATACAAAATCATGCGATGTCAGTCTAGACCCATCAAATGTCACGTGCAGTTTAATAATAAGCCTGATCTAAATAAAACTATAGGTATCCTCCTAACGGTCACACTGTCACTATATTATGTCTTTTTATGTGTTTTTAATAGTAAGCCTTACACAATCTTATCAAAAATAAAAGCACTTACAAGCAATTAATGAGCACATGCTCCAAAACTTTTCAAGACAATATGAAACCAGATTAACCTATTATACTTCACAAACACAATAACAGAGATGGAAAATCTGCTAAACTGAGTACCTTTGTCTTCCCATATAAATGACAAGGATCCTATGAACCAGTTTGACACTTTCTGATTGCATTAGAGCTGAGCCAAAAATATTTTGGAAGATGACACACAGACATGATTGATATGCAGATCAACAGAATATCTCAAGGATGTTTTAAGGCTTTCACCCAGAAAACTACTTAAGATTATCAAACAATATTACTTACATTTATTTGGAAAAAAATATGTAAACAACACAAAACTACTTGTTGGCCTTAACAGTTGCAAACATTTGCCGCCATATTGAAACTGTTGCTTAGCAACAATATTTTTCGGTCCATCTTGTAAATTGTTTGAGGTACAAAGTAAACAATTTTTCTATATTGAATAAAATCACCTTGATTTTGCTGTTCAACAGAATATTTCATTAAATTGAAAACGATTTGAAAAAAATCATTGCATATGCGGGATAGTTCTCTATTTACTTCCGGATAACATTAACTTCCGGTGAAAATTCGGAGTGTGTACGAAAACTAAGTGAATTTCAAAGAAAAGCTGTAAGATGGAGGTTGACGAAGAGGGAAAGAGACCCAAAATGCCCAAAGTGGCAAAGGTATTCACATTTTTTGTGCTGATATCATTCCTGACGACTCATATGATAATGAAATAAATATTGTTCAATGTATTAAATGCGTTTGATTTTCAGTGATTTTCATTTGATTGCGTTTGAATACACTTAGTAAAATCAAAAAGTATAAACTCCCAAATATTATTACAATTTTTTTCGAATGCATGTCCAATTGCCCATCGGTAAAATGGTAATATTCCCAACTGACAGAAAAGAAAAACCATTGTTTTATTCTATATCTTTAAAACAGTTTATCTTTTGTCATAACCGTGTGTTAATGTGTGGACAAGCATCTTCGCTAGCCAAGGGTTTTCGGTCCGCACCGCTCCCCATAAACCCTTGACCGATACGCACTGTAAAACGCTGGTCATACATAGCGCCATCTGTAAATTCTTCAGAAAGAACGATAATTCTGGTGGAAGCAAACAGCCAATGAAATGATAGCTTTTATGTATGTTTCGGTAGAAAATCATACACAATATGGCTACCTCCATTGAAACAACATTTGGAATACAAAAATTAAATGCTTTCCAACAAGAAGCGATATATGCTTTAACGGACAGACCGCCACTTCTAACCTCAAGTCGCACGAGACATCTAGATCATGACATCACACGAGAGCTCGTTAGGGTTTACGGAAACAGCCAAGCGTCTAGTTGAAACTATAGACCCAGTGTTTTCCCTATATTTCAAAGTAAAGCATTAGAGGTCATTTGTAACAGGCTAGGGGCTGAGGTTTATGAACAGAATCTCTGTGGACATTATAAAAAAAAATTTAATTCAAGCGGCATTTTTGTCAAATCAATTATCAAATTTTACGGTAAAAAAGCCGGTTCTAGAGAAAAATTTTTACCTTTTGCAATTTTTGACAGAAACATTGAAAGACTTAAATTTTTTGTTTCTTACAAAGTTTTCTACAAACTTAAAGCCTTTTATGGTTTACGTTATTATTTATTTATTTATTTGCGCAAAGGCCTTAAGGGTATTGAGTAGCAAAGGAATTCTAGGAAGGTTTCACACAAACATTTGCTTGACATATGTATAGATTTAATTCCGAATTTCCTGTTCTTACACATAAGTCTCATTGAGCTCACTTAGAGAGCAGCGCTCGGTATAATTTAGATTGTGCTTGTCAAACCGCATGTGCCATTTGCTATAGGGGTGTGCAATATTACCGGTATACCGGTATATTGCGGTATTCTCCACCACGATAATATATCGCGATATGAAAATCAATATACGGTATTTCACGATATATATAAAAATATATAAAAACCTCCTTCATTGTAGAAACTGCTGAAATAATACTTGTAACTGCCTCAGGCTTTTTCAATCTCGTTAAAACAATACTTCGTCAGCTTTCAGAGAAAGAGATGGAAAGAGTTCAAGAGAAAGATAGAGAGAAAAGAGAGAGAGAGAGCGTTTAATTTACTGTTGCAATTTTAAATATCTTACTTTAAATATGATTTATAATTAATTATAAGACTTTAAAATAAAACTAATAAGAAAGATAATATGTTAAACATTTCTACAGGGTGTATACCAAGTGTATTGTGGTTCTCAAAATCTAGCATCGAATCTACATGAATGACATCGCGATGAAATGTCAAGTTCAATATACATGTTCATATTACAAGTAAATGGTCATCCGTGTTTTAACTTGAACTTCAAGTTAAAACACGGATGACCATTTGAAGATGTGTTGCTCTAATTATTTTTTTATAACTTTCAGGCCATTTTAAACACCTTCATGCCATACCAGGAGCATATTTATTAAATCACTAGATACAGGCCATTTCCTGATGTGAAATTAGGTCGGGTTAGACTAAAACACCAAAACACTCAAAAAATAAGTCAAAATTTCTTTCTGGCTTTAATTTTATTCTGTAAATACAATAATTTTTTTCCCATATTGTATTTTTTTTTTTAATCTTTTTTAGCATTTCATGCTACTTAATTACCCTCCCCCCCCCCCCCCAAAAAAAAATTATAATAATAATAAAAAGACAAAAGTTTATATATTCTGTATAAACTTTTTTTTTTAATTTGAAAATTCTCCATGGGGGTTCATTTTGTTATTATTTTACCTGGTATTTGATTAAAAGTAAAGTGTTATAATTATGTGTGCAATTAATGTATTATCCCTCCTCCCCCTTTACAACTTAAAGATAAATTCAAATATATAGTCTTTGAATTTGACAGTATTTCAAACATTCTGCTCGAATTTATTTATGATAATTAAAATCTACAATATATTGCAATATATTGCAATATTCAAAGTAAAATATTGCAATATATCGCAATATGGTTTTCACTCGCAATACCCAACTCTAATTTGCTACATATATTTTTATTTGGATATTATGAGACATTGTATGTATGTTGCATTACCAAATCAAAGTCTGAACAGTGTGCATTTCAATCAAAAATGTTTAGTACTCAATTTTCTACAATTTAACTGCTATATATCAGTTAAAATCAAAGCAAGTTTTTTTTTTTAAACATCTTGTTTACTGCGAAAACATAGTCTTCGACAAGATCCATTTCGCTATGGATTATAGGACCACAGGTAATTTTGGGCAAAACATCTTGTGGATCAATGTGCTTTTTCCAAAATTTTCTCTTCACCCAGTCATTGTTTTAAGAGCTTGTATGGTCGAGCAGCACTTTGCACTCGCTATTATACAAAGCTGAGTTAGAGTAGAGTATTTTATATGAAAATGCTACAAATAAACTTCATTTTCCTTGCAAAAAATATTGGAAAGCTGTAATATGTTGACCATGCAAGTTAAGGCTGTCACGGGAAATCAGAAATTGAATCTAAAAAAGTTGGAACCGACCTGACCCAAAAGATTATGGAACAGTGACAGCCCTAAAGCAAGTGTTTACTTTAGGCGTGCGTAGATATATAGAATGGACCTGAAAGATGCACTTGGAATAAGCATTATAGGACCACAAGAAGCTGCAGAAAAAAGTTCATTTAGATCAATGTGCAAAGTCAAAATTTTCTCTTGGCCCAGGCATTGCTTTTAGAGCTTGCAAAGTTCTACAAGCAGTGCAACAATCTTGAATTACTTGCAAAAGTTATACAGAAAATGAAAATCTCATGCAAAAATGAAATTCTTATATTATTTATTTTTATTTTTAGGTCAAGAACAAAATGCCTGCCCCAGTACAGATAACAGCTGAGCAGCTCCTACGAGAGGCTAAGGAGAGGGAGCTAGAGTTGGTTCCTCCTGTGAGTAGAAAATTAGGTTACATTCAATGAGATGATCTATTGTTACCATTATCATCTTCTGTATGCTTAATTTTTACAGTTTAGCCTTATTTGCCATACAAGTTAGGCAAATTTTAATGGAAATTGCCAAAAGCATCCTTAGCTATAGATGGTTTTCCACTGAGGTAATTTAAGCAAGAGTTATTCCCCATGGCCACCATGTTGTAGGGCTACATTCCCAGATCCCTTCATTATTCAACCAAGTTCAATCTGCTATACTGGTTACTGAGGTAAAATTTACACTATTTTTCTTATGAAAATAGGTTTGTTAAAGCCTCTATTAATTCATAATCTTGAGATTGTAAATATTTTCCCCTATATATTTCTGTAAAATTGGTTGCTCAAAAAGGAAAATTCACTGCTTTGCCCTACAAGATGGCGGCTATGGGGAATAACTCGAGGCAGAATATGTCAATGGAAAACCATCTATTGAATACTTAATTTTGTTTTTTAGCTCACCTCAATGAAGTTGGGGAAGCTTATGTAATACCCTCGGTGTCGGCTTCCCATGTTAAGGTTAAGTTTTTTTGAGCAGTTTTTTAAAGTACTTCTATGTCCTATATTGATTAGACATGCATGGAAGATGCTTCTAGTTTCATTGTACCAGTCAAAGTGTCAGATGCTGCAATTTCAGGGAAGGAATGATCAGATGTTTTGGAGCAGGTTAACATTTTTTGGTGCAGTTTTTGGTGTAGGTCTCATTTCCAAGGAACTATAAGCCCTATGTTGACCAAACTTGCATGGATGATACATCTAAGGATGCATACTAACAGGCTTGCTTCGGATGCAATCTGACCTACATTTTCCGATTGAGTGAACAGGTTAAAGTTTTTGGTGCAGGTTTCATTTCCAAGTAACTATAAGCTCTATATTGACCAAACTTGCATGGATGATACATATAAGGATGCATACTACTGGGCTTGCTTCAGATGCTGAATCTGACCTACATTTTCTGGTTGAGTGAACAGGTTAAAGTTTTTGGTTTCACAGGTTTCATTTCCATGTAACTATAAGCCCTATGTTGACCAAACTTGCATGGATGATACATCTAAGGATGCATACTACCAGGCTTGCTTCGGATGCTGAATCTGACCATCATTTTCCGGTTGAGTGGACAGGTCAAAGTTTTTGGTGCAGGTTTCATTTCCAAGTAACTATAAGGCCTATGTTGACCAAACTTGCATGGATGATACATCTAAGGATGCATACTACCAGGCTTGCTTCGGATGCTGAATCTGACCATCATTTTCTGAAAATGTTGAGTGAATAGGTTAAATTTTTCGTGAGTGATTCATTTCCAAGTAACTATAAGCCCTATGCAGTTGACCAAACTTGCATGGATGATACATCTAAGGATGCATACTACCAGGCTTGCTTCGGATGCTGAATCTGACCATCATTTTCTGGTTGAGTGAACAGGTTAAAGTTTTTGGTGTAGGTTTCATTTCCAAGTAACTATAAGCTCTATATTGACCAAACTTGCATGGACGATACATCTTAGGATGCACACTAATGCACTTGCTTCAGATGCTGAATTCGACATACATTTTTCAGTTAATAGACCAGGTAAAAGTTATGGGTGCAGGTCTATTACCAAAAAACTATAAGGCTTATATAACATTGTATAAACCAACCTTGCACATATGTTGCATCAAGAGATGAAAACTCTCAAATTTGCTTCAGATGCTGGATTTTGATTACATTTTCATGAAGAAGAACTAGTTTAAATTTTTTATGTAGGTCTATTTCAAAGTATCAGATCAAAATTGCTTAAATATTTTCATTTTTGGAATGTACACTTTTTGTTGGTTAATTGTGTGACTTTGCCTTACTTAAAGACAACATTCGTTGAGGTGAGCTCTGTAATCTCTGATTACCTATGTTTTATATAAAGGGGGATGCTTTTATAAGGAGGGAATAGTTATGAAAGAAGAGGGGGACATAACCAAATATTTTTAGTTTGATGCTACTAAAAATTCCAATCATTGACAAGCAAAAAATAAATAAAAATTTTAAAAATGTATAAATCATATTTACTTTAATATTCTAAAGAAGTGGGTTCATGTATAAGAAAACATGTTCTTTTCATAAAATATTTAATATACATCTGTATATTTATTAGAGCATTTTCTTTCCTTTTTATTTAGCCTCCAAAACAGAAGATATCAGATCCTGATGAACTTAGAGAGTATCAGAGAAGAAAAAGAAAAGTATTTAATTGTTTTTGTTGTTTTCAATGAAATTTAAACTCAAGTTTTTATTTGTTTAGGAATTGTAGATATTCATTAATTTAAGACATGAAATTATTTAGAAATAAATTATCCTCTTCCAGACATTTGAGGACAATATACGTAAAAACAGAAGTGTTATGACCAACTGGATCAAATACGCCCAGTGGGAGGAATCTCAGAAAGAAATTCAAAGGTATTCAAATTATACTTTAAAAAAAAAAAAGTCTTATTATTATTAGTGCATATTACAATTTTGGGTCAGACTTAACTTCCACAATACCTATATATCAGTTATTTGTGATCTGATACATCAATATTACTGTTAGGTGATCTTTCTTTAAGAGCCCGTTCAGTGTATGAGAGAGGACTAGATGTGGACCATCGAAACATCACAGTTTGGTTGAAGTATGCAGAAATGGAGATGAGGTATGTTTATGATTCCCAAAAACCCTACTTTTTGTTGCTTGAAATATCCAATCCAGATTTTAGTATTGGAATTTACATTGTTGTCAATGTTGTGTGAATTTTTTCCAGAGCCAGACAAATAAACCATGCCAGGAATATCTGGGACAGAGCTATAACAATACTCCCCAGGGCCAATCAGTTCTGGTATAAGTACACTTACATGGAGGAGATGTTGGGAAATATTGCAGGTTTATCCTAATTAGGGCCCCGCAAGGATTTGCGGGTGCCTTATAGTAATCACTCTGTCCGTCCGTCCGTCTGTCTGTCTGTCCGTCTGTCACTCTTCCGTCCACAAATTTTCTGTTTTTTTCTAATAACTTTTTTTAAGGTTGCCCAATCAGGTTCAAATTTGGTATGGTAGTTCAGTAGGCAGAAATACATATTTTGATGCTAAGTTTGGTTCTCTATGTCTTCTGGTTTGGAGCTGGGGTGGTGGGGTAGATTCCTTAACTATGCATAAGAATGAATGGGCAAAGTGAGATAACTGCTGAGAATGTTACCATTGTAAACTGGGAAGGCTGTGCAATTTGTCCTTTGGGATTAATTAACCTTCCACATGAAGAAAATCCTAAGCATTATCTTTATCTGTCACATTGAGATTAATTACTGTACCAGCCTCTGTCTGCAATGAACTTTGTTTTGAAGTTAAGGTCAATTTTGAATGATGTGTACATTCTTTGAAATATGGATTTAAAGTAATGTTCATACTTTATATTGGTTAAAATACTGTACACAACGATTTAACATAATTTTATTGAATTCTAAAATCAAGATATATATTAAGATATCCTTTTTTATTATTACCATTTTATTTTTTTAATTATTTATTTAATTTAATTTTTTTGCTGCCTTATTGCTGTTAATAATAACAGGTAATCAGATATAAACCCCATTCTGTCAGTGCTGAAAAAAAGTTCTTATTGTAAATTTATATAGAAGAAAAGGATGGGAGAGCAGTACAATTAATCCCCTGGGATTAGTTATCTTGCTTGCTGCAGAAAATTTAGAGGCTTATCTTTATCTGTCACATGAAGATTAATGAACAACTTTGTCTGCAGCTGATGTTTGTTTTGAAGTTGAGGTCAACCCTGGGTGATATTTGCATTCACTGAAGGCTTGCATGGACTAAATTTTGAAGATGAATTTATAAAACACCTGCTTAAATCTTTTTTAAATAAACATTAAATTTAGTTTTTTTAATAAGACTTGAGGTTTTCCCTGTTTTATGTAAATACAAGGTTACTATTTACAGGTTTTTGGACATTCAGGAATTATCTTGAAATTTTAAAAATACATTTGTTACTTATAATCTTCATATATTAAATAAAATGTAATCAAGTAAAACTCTCATTCAGTGAGCTGCACCCTTATATTTCTACCCCTCAGCGGGGCCCTTGCTGACTGGTCAGTTTTCTAGTTATTTTCAATTTATCCTGTTGGAAGAAAAAATAAACAGATTTTCAGGGTTTCAATTTTTTGGTTGAAGTAGAAACATGATACAGTTTGTACTGTAAGAGAACATATGAATTTGTGGGTCTCTATCTTGCAAAAAAGCAACCTAATTAACCCCAATGAAAAATAAGTGATTTTAAGTGATAAGTGGTACAGTATACTACAAATTCTTATAATCAAAACAATCGACCTATCTTCTAAAAAATATTGGTATCATATGATTATCCTTGGACAAAATATTAGTTAGAAGTTATTAATTTTAGTTTTCAACTGCTGTATAAAATGGTAAACTGGTGATAGTTGAATAACAATATCATCTTATCAATACGCATATGTAAATGATATTATTGATTAAAACCGACTGATTTGATGCTTATATTTAGGAGCTCGTCAGGTGTTTGAGCGTTGGATGGAGTGGGAGCCGGAGGAACAAGCTTGGCATTCCTTCATCAACTTTGAGCTGCGTTACAAAGAACTAGACCGAGCTCGAATGATTTACGAGAGATATATCCTTTCATGTCATCTCAATTTTATGGTCAAAATTTGTAAAAATATATGGATTACATTTCTGTTCATTGTCGTTTAACCTATCAATAATGAAAAAAATAATTTTTTGAACAATGTAAAAGTTTTGATTTTCTTTATTTGTAACAGTATAGTAAATGACATTTTTTCTTAACACTGGGTACTTGTTCTGATACATCCGGAGGTAAAGAACTGGATTAAGTATGCACGCTTTGAGGAAAAACATGGCTACATCAACAGTGCAAGGAGCATTTATGAGAGAGCTATTGAATTTTTTGGAGAGGACAACATGGATGAAAAACTTATCACAGCTTTTGCCAGATTTGAGGAGGGACAAAGAGAGGTTAATACGAACATTAATTTAGTTTTCTCTTTTGGTCTCAGAATATCAGTGTTAAGAATATTCCTGACTGAATTTTGAAGATGAATATCATCAATTGATGAAATGCAGGGTTCCCCCAGCTATTTATTGACTTTAATTTTTTTTGTTCAAAGATTGTGATGTTAAATTAAATGTTCTCTCATTTTCAGCATGAAAGAGCCCGGGTAATCTACAAGTATGCTCTGGACACCCTGCCTAAAGACCAGTGTCAGGAAATTTACAAAGCCTACACAGTTCATGAGAAGAAATTTGGAAGTCGGGCTGCCATTGAAGATGTTATTGTGAGCAAAAGGAGGTTCCAATATGAAGAGGTATGAAGATCAAAGGATATGGTCACCCAAAATTTTCTGTGAATCAAAGTTAATATAAAAATAAGGAATCAGAATCTTTAAGTACACTGCTATACAAAGCAAATGTACAGATTTCTTAAAATTGTTTCATTGACAGGAAGTAAAAGCCAATCCTTTGAATTACGATGCATGGTTTGATTACATAAGATTGCTGGAATCTGATGCTAACACAGAACAAGTGAGGGACACATACGAAAGAGCTATAGCAAATATACCACCATCTAAGGTAGATAACTACTAGGAAAATTGTATATTCCTCTTACAGTAAAAGGCTCTGACTTCTCTCTCAGAGTAAGTTATGAAATATCCTTGGGAAAAGAAACCACTACAGTAAATTTCAATTATCAGTGTTGCTTGCACATTCTATGAAAATTTAAAGAAAGAGTGCAAAGTTTTGCATAAGATAAATAGACCTTATCAAGAAGAACAGTTTGCACAGTTTATTTGTAAGAATTGTAAGATGTAAGATATTTTACAGTTTCCTGTGTGATGTGTGACTTTACAGTGTGTATTTACTGTTGTAGGAGAAGCGACACTGGCGTCGGTACATTTACCTGTGGATTAACTACGCGCTGTATGAGGAGCTAGAGGCTGAGGACATAGAGAGGACAAGGGACGTCTATAAAGCTTGTCTAGATGTCATTCCTCATAAACACTTCACATTCGCCAAACTGTGGCTCCTGTTTGCCCACTTTGAAATCCGACAGAAAAATTTACAAGGAACAAGAAGGATATTGGTATTGAGTTACTTCCCTTGAATTGGCATTGTTCAATTTTATTTTAGAATAGAATGAATGCAGTATATCTTCCATTTTTTTAAATGTAAATTAATCAATGAAACTAAATATATTTTACTTTTACTTTTAAAATACACACCTGTAAAATATTTCCTGTTATTGCAGGGTACTGCTGTTGGTAAATGTCCAAAGAACAAATTATACAGAGGTTACATTGAGCTGGAGTTACAGTTAAGAGAATTTGAGAGATGCAGAATCCTGTATGAGAAGTTTTTAGAATTTGCACCAGAAAATTGTACAACCTGGATGAAGGTAAGATCAGTCTATAAGAATGGATGAACAATGCTGTCTGTGTTGTTATGTGTTTGATGTCTAAAAACGCTAAATCCTTTGTTCCTGTCTTTCTGTCACAGTATGCAGAACTAGAAACCATATTAGGAGACACAGAGAGGGCTGAGAGTATTTATGAACTGGCCATCAACCAACCCAAACTGGACATGCCAGAGGTGCTATGGAAGGCTTACATTGACTTCCAGATCGAACAAGAGGAATATGACAAAACTAGAGCACTGTATAGGAGGTTACTGGAACGCACCCAGCATGTTAAGGTATATATATATATATACCATTGTTGTGTAATGGAGAATATTCATATGCATCTCACATTACAAAACACTGTAAACAAGCTTGATTTTTCTGCATTTTCTAATGGTCTAACGTTACTTCATATTAAATATTTAGCTTTCTGGCACCACTAATGAAAATTATAATTTTACTCTGTTGACAATTGGCAAAATTTAAACCGCAGTGAAAATATACTATACAACCTCACCCTGGATGCAATAGATATGTTAATATTATTGCTGGAGTGCAAGCCATTGAAGGAAGATATGTTTTTTATTAAAAAGGTTTGGATAAGCTTTGCCCACTTTGAGCTGTCTGTCCAGAGTGAGGATGGTAGCAATGTGAAGAATGCCAGGAAAGTTTACAGTGAGGGGAACAAGTCTATGAAGAATAATAACGAGAAGGAGGAGAGGTTAATGTTACTGGAGTCCTGGCAGGAAATGGAGGTAGGGGTTCCCACAGAGGGATAGAGTCAGTGATACTTAACACAGTTAACATGAGAATCAGTATAGGGTGTGTTTGGAAGAATTATGTACCATAAACTTGTCATGACTATAGTATTTTCTTTGAATGACAGTACTGTCACTGTCTCTTTTGATAAAGGGTCTGGGTTCCACTAGTAGATTGGGAAAATTATCAACTTTTTGGGTCAAAACTGGAAGTTTTACTTTCCTTAATGATTTAAAAAAATATATTATTAAAAACATGCATTGAATGCTCCATGGTAGAGGTATGTGTTTTTGTTAATGTGGTTATCTCCCGTTATAGAGAGACCAGGGTGATGAAGAATCTCAGAGTAAGGTGGATAAACTGATGCCACAGAAAGTGAAGAAAAGGAGGAAGATTCAGACAGAGGATGGGGTAAGGCTCTCTACAATGACTACAGATAGATTTAAAGAATAACTGATTAGAGATGAGATATAATCCATTGAATATGACATTACAATTAAAATAAAATTTTGCCCTTAATTACATTCACGGCATATCCATTACATTCTGTTCATGAATATTTTGATTTAACTTTTTGACCTGTATTTCAAGAATATAGATTTTTAGGTCACCTGAGTAAACTCAGGTGACCTATTGCTATCTGTTTTCATCCGTCGTCGTGCGTTAACATTTGAACATTTTCAGCTTCTTCTCTGCAACCACTGAACCAATTTCAACCAAATTTGGCACAAAGCATCTATGGGTGAAGGGAAACAAAAATTGTGAATTTCATGATCCCTGCCCCCCTGGGGCCTGAGGGGTGGGGCCAAAACCACTAAAATTAATGCAATTTTTAAAAATCTTCTTCTTTACTCCTGGACATCAAGCAGTCAAACTGTTTGCATGATTGTAATCAGCAGTGAGTCATCTACCAAAATTATGAAATTCATGGCCCTGGGGTCAGGGGTTCTAGTGCTAGGGCGGGGCTAAATAAGTAGGTAGTGAAAATGCATTATTTCTTTGAAAATCTTCTTCTCTGCTCCTGGGTATTGAATAAACAAACTAAGCACATAGTTATGATGAGCAAGAGTGCCACTACCAAAATTGTGAATTTTATGGCCCCAGGGTCAGGGGTTCTGGTGTTAGGGTGGGGCTCTATTGATTATATAGTGAAAATACATGAATTCTTTGAAAATCTTCTTCTCTGCTCCTGGGTATTAAATAAACTAACTAAGTGCATAGTTATGATGAGCAAGAGTGCCTCTACCAAAATTGTGAATTTTATGGCCCCAGGGTTAGGGGTTCTGGTGTTAGGGCAGGGCTCTATTGATTATATAGTGAAAATACATGAATTCTCTGAAAATCTTCTTCTCTGCTCCTGGGTATTAAATAAACTAACTAAGTGCATAGTTATGATGAGCAAGAGTGCCTCTACCAAAATTGTGAATTTTATGGCCCCAGGGTCAGGGGTTCTGGTGTTAGGGCGGGGCTCTATTGATTACATAGTGAAAATACATGAATTCTTTGAAAATCTTCTTTTCTGCTCCTGGGTATTAAATAAACTAACTAAGTGCATAGTTATAATGAGCAAGAGTGCCTCTACCAAAATTAAGAATTTTATTGCCCCAGGGTCAGGGGTTCTAGTGTTAGGGTGGGGCTCTATTGATTATATAGTGAAAATACATGAATTCTTTGAAAATCTTCTTCTCTGCTCCTGGGTATTAAATAAACTAACTAAGTGCATAGTTATGATGAGCAAGAGTGCCTCTACCAAAATTGTGAATTTTATGGCCCCAGGGTCAGGGGTTCTGGTGTTAGGGTGGGACGTATTGATTATATAGTGAAAATACATGAATTCTTTGAAAATCTTCTTCTCTGCTCCTAGGAATTAAATAAACTAACTAAGTACATAGTTATAATGAGCAAGAATGCCTCTACCAAAATTGTGAATTTTATGGCCCCAGGGTCAGGGGTTCTGGTGTTAGGGCGGGGCTCTATTGATTATATAGTGAAAATACATTAAATCTTTGAAAATCATCTTTTCTGCTCCAGGGTATTAAGCAGATGAACTACCTATAGAGTTATGCTGGACAAGGGCCCATATCTTCCAGAATTGTGAATTTCAAGGCCCCAGGGTCAGTTTAGAAGGGGGGGGGGCTGTACTTATATACTGAAAATGAATGAATGGTTTGAAATCTGCTCCTTGGTATTAATCAAATATCAAGGCCTAAGGGTCAGGGGTTCATGTGTGGTAGGGGCACTACTGATTATTGCTGAATATTACTGATTAGTTGAAATGCATTTTTTGTTCCCTTACCCTGCATATGGGTATTAAGTAAACAAACTAAGCAACTGCTAAGTGTATTGTTATGATGATCAATGGTGCCTCTTTCAAAATTGTGAATGCCATAGCATCTGGCTTAAAACATGAATCAAATTCAGTCACTGGAAAGTTGTTGCATAATGCTTAGGTGACCTATAAGGCCCATGGGCCTCTTGTTTAGCTCACCTGAGCCAAAGGCTCAGGTGAGCTTTTCTGATCACATTTTGTCCGTCGTCCGTCCGTCTGTCTAGCTGTCTGTCCGTCTGTAAACTTTTCACATTTTCGACTTCTTCTCAAGAACCACTGGGCCAATTTCAACCAAACTTGCCACAAAGTATCCTTGGGTGAAGGGGATTCAAGTTTCTACAAATGAAGGGCCACGCCCTCATTCAAGGGGAGATAATTGGGAATTAATGAAAATTTAATGGTATGTTTTAAAAATCTTCTTCTAAAGAACCACTGTGCCAGGAAAGATGAAACTTATGGGGAAACATCCTCAGGTAGTGTAGATTCAAGTTTGTTCAAATCATGACCCCCAGGGGTAGGGCGGGGCCACAATGGCTGAGCAAAGTTTTACGTAGAAATATATAGGAAAATTCTTTAAAAATCTTCTTTTCAAGAACAGCAAAGCCATAATTGATCATATTTATATTAAAGCATCCTCAGGTAGTGTAGATTCATATTTGTTCAAACCATGACCCCCAGGGCTAGGGCGGGGCCAAAATGGCCGAGCAAAGTTTTACATAGAAATATATAGGAAAATTCTTTAAAAATCTTCTTCTCAAGAACAGCAAAGCCATAATTGATCATATTTATATTAAAGCATCCTCGGGTAGCGTAGATTCATGTTTTTTCAAATCATGACCCCGGGGGTAGGGGCGGGGCCACAATGGCCGAGCAAAGTTTTACATAGAAATATATAGGAAAATTCTTTAAAAATCTTCTTCTCAAGAATAGCAAAGCCATAATTGATCATATTTATATGGAAGCATCGTCAGGTAGTGTAGATTCAAGTTTGTTCAAATCATGACGCCCGGGGGTAGGGCAGGGCCACAATGGCCGACCAAAGTTTAACATAGAAATATGTAGGAAAATTCTTTAAAAATCTTCTTCTCAAGAATAGCAAAGCCATAATTGATCATATTTATATGGAAGCATCGTCAGGTAGTGTAGATTCATGTTTGTTCAAATCATGACCCCCGGGGGTAGGGCGGGGCCACAATGGCAGACCAAAGTTTAACATAGAAATATGTAGGAAAATTCTTTAAAAATCTTCTTCTCAAGAACAGCAAAGCCATAATTGATCATATTTATATGGAAGCATCGTCAGGTAGTGTATATTCAATTTTGTTCAAATCAAGGCCCCCGGGGGTAGGGGCGGGGCCACAATGGCCGACATTAAAGTTTTACATAGAATAGGAAAATTCTTTAAAAATATCTTTCAACAAGAATAGCAAAACCATGATTGGTCATGGGACTACTTTTGGATTTAAACTTTTCAATAATAAACCAATTTCTACTTTTTCCTAGCCACAGTGCTCAGGTGAGCGATGTGGCCCATGGGCCTCTTGTTTTTTGTTTATCCTACATTTTGTTGAGAGAAAAACACAGCGCTCTATGGTATATTTTATAATTTTGTATATGTTGTTGAATAAGGGGTAACAATTTTTTCTTTGCTGTGTTATTAGTAGGGTGTTATGTATTATGTCGAATACATACCAGTAGTACTAAATATTTCCTGAAATCTTCCAATGATGTCAGGTTGTTGTTATTTTCTGGAATGAATATCTTTTTTAAACAAAAAATGTGTGAAATAATTATCTTGGATTGTTATTGAACCTTACACTGTACAAAGAATTGCCAACAATGAGTGTTTTCTTTTTCAGTCGGATGCTGGGTGGGAGGAATACTATGATTACATTTTCCCGGACGAGGAGGCAGCTCAACCAAACCTCAAACTGCTGGCCATGGCCAAAAAATGGAAGCAAGTTCAGGAAACTGCCCCAGAGGAGGAAGAGGAAGTGGGATGAACTTCTTATTGTCACTTCGTGTTGGGATGTTTTTATGCATTATGTGTAATACATTTCTCTGTGATGTCTTTCTATAAAGAAATGACTATATGGACTGTGCTGACCAAGACAAAGGTCAGAAGGAGAGAGAGAACATGAGATGTGATTGGTATATGAATGCCAGATTATAAATAAAAAATAAATTCATGAATTTTTTTTTTCATGTTTTCTTTAGGCCTAATATAAAAGAGAAACTATTTTTGCTGAAGTTTTTAATCGATGCCAGATAAATGCTTAACATGTATAAGCCTTTTTTAGGGAGTTGTCACAATATAAATTTGTATCTTACAGGGTCATTTGATAAATAAAATTTGGTTCTGATATTGGAGTTTAAACAATATACAGCTATATTGTGATACGTTTCACTGAAAGTTTTAGTAGAGCAATGAAGAGTACTTACTAGGTTATACATTTGTTAAGAATTAGGAAATAAATTAATAGTTGATTCCACTTAATTTAAGTCAAATTCTTATTTCATAAAATTTGAATTTTGTAAATTTCTGTCGTATTTGTAGAGTTCCTAACAATATACCAGTATAACTGATAATTTTTGAGAAGTTTTTTTTATATATATAGAACAATAATGAAAAGTGATGCTTATCATGATATACAATTCAAAATATTGCTGTCTGCATATGAATTGTCATTAATATATCATTTTTATACTTCCCTCTGAACATTAAAGCTTAACCTAGAAGATATGAAAATTTGCAGCGAATTTTTCTTTGAAATATAGAAGATAAAATCAGAAAATTACATAGTTTACACTTTCCAGTGGTCATAACTTCTTTGAGCATGTGATTTGTTAGAAATACCCTGGTACTAAGTCTTTGATGGAATGCTGTTAATTACAGGTGGTTTTTGAAATTTTTACAGTGAACTACTGTCCCAGTAATTTATCAAAAGCATTTGATGCTAAAGTTTCCTGTTATAAGACCACATGAAGTCTAAAAAGCTCATTATATCCCACTTGGAGATGAGATTTGCATTTTGTGAAAGTAGTCCAGGTCTGTTTGAAACAAAAAAAAGTTTTTCCCAGTCTGTTTTTATTAGTCAGAGTTACTGCTTCAACAAGTTGTAAACAAATTACAGGAAAATGCCTCTTACAATATCAGATGTCAAGATGTATTGATGAAGGTGTGTTTATAAATAATAGGAAAAAGAGAAATCCCGGGCTTTGGCTGATTAAGTTTGAATGGATAATTAAGCTATATTGGGCTGACAGTCTTAAACGACACCTATTTTTATCCTTGAGCGGTTGTTTCACTTATGATTTTTCAATAATGACGTCCCACATGTGTCAATGACTTATTGCCATTATTTATCTAAGAGTTATCTATGCATTTTCTCCTTGGTTTCCATTTTCATATATGTCAGAGTTGATTTCTTTATCTGCAAAAATTTTCTCTTTTGACAGTCAAGAATAAAAGGGCATTAAAGGGGATCAAATTAGGATAATGATCCAAATTGTTCTCCATTTATCACTGACGCATTTGTGATCAAGCTTTATAAAGAATGAATAACATTCAATGTGATCTGATGCTTGCTGTTCAAAAAGCTAGCATTGTTCAGGGATGAAAATGTTCTACACAAAAGTGTCAAAGGAGTTAATAAGCTTGTTTGCTATCTTCTGGATATGCCCCAGTGAAAGGGGATCCTAGTTCTAGGCCATTATGGATTTGGAGATTGTTAAATGAGCTCATTTATACATCCCATCATTTACAAACTTCTTATGATGTTTCTCTGGGGCTTCCCTTTGTATAATAAACACACAACCAAGTCTCCATAACCAATGCAATGTTACAAACTTCAAACATCTAGGGGAAAATTAAATAATGTAGCAAATCTAACTAGTGGGCAGATGGTACAATTCTTTTGAGTAGCAAAATACATAATATGAAATATTTATTCATTTACAGAATGAAATGAAAGTAATTTCAGTAAATGTGTCTGAATGTCAGATTTTGATTTCCTGTGGAAACTTTTTTTAAATTAGTGCATGATATACAATTGAACTTTGATCTCCCAAACACTCAGGTCTCAAATACTTTGGAGGTGTCGAATTAGTTAAGATGGAAGCCCCTCCAACATTTCTTTTGTTTTTTTATGACCTCAGTAATGTAGAAGTTTCAAGTTTGAGGTAATGAGGTTTGACTTTCTGCCTATATTATTACATTTGCAAAAAAGTACTGGTTATCTAAGGTATGGAATGTGAAGCAGGTATTTAACAAGGTTTGACTGTACATTCTTAAAGTGCTGGTTTACTTGAGCCATGGAATTGAGCAGGTATTTTAATCACCAATTGCCTAAGATCTGTTGTATACGTTTGCAGTCTGCCAACTACAGTAATTCACTTAACCTTTGTCCTGGACCAAACGAGCATTGGTGATGTCTATGGCATGCCAAATTCAAAAAAATGAGCTACCGCTCACAATTGATGTTATTGTAAACTATAGTTTACAAAGTAAACTATAGTTAACGATTCGTTAAGTATAGTTTTCATCTGTAAAACATATTTGGTTGTTAACTATAGTTTGTGCTAATCTAAGTTTATCTGTCTGTAATAAAACGTTAACAATAGATTTTGTTGAATAAACATAGATTCACATCTGTAAACTATAATTTACGATCATTAACTATAGTTAAGAATTGTAAACCATAGTTTACAAATCGTGAAACTGTACTTATCGATAATCTATGTATTGCGATCGCAAATGATCATTTTTGGTGTTAAGTATAGTTACTGTTTACGATTGTGAAACATAGATTATCGCGTTAACTATGGTTTACAGATGTAAAATAGAGATTAACGTTGTTAATTATAGGTTACAGTCCATAAACTATAGTTTACAACCAATAAACCTAGTTCATCGAATGTGAAACTATGATTAGCACATTTTTGTGAATTTGGCATGCTAAACATAGTTTCACAATTGATAAACTAGGTTTATCGACTGTAAACTATAGTTTACAAACCGTGAGCTATAGTTTACAATTCGGAGAGAGTTTTCATCTGTAAAATATATTTAACGGTTGTTAACTATAGTTTTCCTTACAGTTTATCTGTTTGTAATAAAATGTTAACAATAGATTTTGTTGTTGAACATAACACGTTTTAATTTACGATCGTTAACTATAGTTAAGAGTTGTAAACCATAGTTTACAAATCGTGAAACTGTATTTATTGATAATCTATGTTTTGCGATCGCAAATGATCATTTTTGGTGTTAAGTATAGTTTACGATTGTGAAACATAGATTATCGCGTTAACTATGGTTTACAGATGTAAAATATAGATTAACGTTGTTAATTATAGTTTACAATCCGTAAACTATAGTTTACAACCGATAAACATAGTTTATTGACTGTGAATCTATGTTCTGCTTATTTTTATACGCCCGTCTTAAGACGGGACGTATTATGTTATAGGCTTCGTGTGTACTATGTCTGTTATCAGGTCTGTCCGTCTAATTGTTAGCTTTTTCGTTTCCGGCTCATAACTTTAATACTACTCGGCCTAGGAATATCAAACTTTGTCATCTGATGCATCTTGGGGAGAAGGTGTGTCGCGCACAAAAAGTAGGTCGCTCTGACCTTTAATTAAGAAGTTATAGCCAAATATGGAAAAATCCTTTCCGGCCCATAACATTGAAAACCATAAGACTTACAATCATCAAACTTGGCCAGTTTATGCGTCTTAGGTAGAGGTGTGTCGCGACCTATTTCAAGGTCACTGTGACCTTTAATTTAAGTGAAATTAAAAAAAAAATATGTCTTTTTATATATATACACATCCCAAATAATGTAAGAGTATTGCACTGTCCTTATAAAAGTGTTAAATCAAGAAAATACTTATTTTATTAAAGCATATACTTGACAGCATTTGTATAACAAATATATATGTTAGAGAAATCCTACCTTCCCTTGAGTGTAATTATCAAGCACTGGTCAAGAAGAATTTTGATAACAGAAAATTGCATGTCAAATGATAGAGAGAAATTAATGGGTTTTGAGTGCCAGGAGCTAACTGCCAGAGCATTGGTGTTATCTGTCCCTTGAGTATTGGGCAAATGGGTAAGCCTGTTTGATTAAAAATAGGCTATAGCTCTTGTTGACTAGCTTAATTTGATGAAAAGTAATTAAAACTAATTTGATATTGCATTGTAGACTAAAAATGTAATATTATTTATTTAAAAACTAATTTTATGGGGTGGGTGGAATCAGCATGTCCATATGAATTACATATTAAAACCTGTTGGAAATTAAATCTCAACAAAAAAAAAAATCTTTGAGTATTTTATATGTTTTTAAACAAAATTTATAGTAGATAGTGCAGACCCATTCATCTCTTGGTAGTAATGAGTAGACAAGCATCCAGTTAAAGATTTATTAATGAGTTCAATGTAGGAAGGCTAGCTGTCTCTTATCTGTACCCTTTGGGGATTAGACAGAAGAACTGCTGGCAGTTTATAACATATGTCATTGATGGCCAGCCTTTTTTTTCAAAATTAATTTGGTAAATTAAGTTGTTAAGACTAATTTGATGATGGGCATTTGACAAGGTCTAACACAACCAGCACAGAAATCTATCAGTTATGTAATATTTATTATAATTGATGCCTACATCACAGGGGATGGAAAATATTTTAAGGAATGGAAAAATCATCGAAATCTTAGAATCACGGGCAAGTTTGATGTGATTTCCTTGCACCTAAACTGTTCAAGAAAATTGTAATTTTTTTGACGGGCGTATCATGCTGTGGCGCGGCACTTTATTGTGAATTTGGCGTGCCATAGATGTCTGTAGAGACTTACTTCAGATGGTGGTTCGGATCTAGATTTGTAGATAGGATAAAGTTTTTGACGCAAATCTATTCCAAAAGGAGCTACAAGACCTTTGATACCTTTACCTTATTTTATGTGGTAGCATAAAATTTCTCATTCCCATAGTGGCCAAGTAGAGTGTTTTACCCATCGACTTGTTTAATATACAAACTGTACATTTTCCTTACAGTTTTTAAGGTCACCTGAGTAAACTCAGGTGACCTATTGCTATCCGTTTTGTCCGTCGTTGTGCATTAACATTTGAACATTTTTGGCTTCTTCTCTGCAACCACTGAAAATTTCAACCAAATTTGGC